TGTTAGCCAGGATGGTCTCGATCTCCTAACCTCCTGATCCGCCCGTCTTGGCCTCCCAAAGTGCTGGGATTACAGGCTTGAGCCACCGCACCCGGCCTCTTTTTTGTTTTTTTTAAACAGAGATGAGGTCTCCCTATGTTGTCCAGGCTGGTCTCAAACTCCTGGGGTTGAGGGATCCTCCCAAAGTGCTGGGATTACAGGCGTGAGCCACTGCGCCAGACCTGGGGGGGTGGTTTCTTATCTAAGGAGGCACAGGAAGACAGTTCCACATCAAATAGAACATAAGAGAAGGCTGGGTGCGGTGGTTCACGCCTGTAATCCCAGCACTGTGAGAGGCCAAGGCGGGCAGATCACAAGGTCAGGAGTTTGAGATCAGCCTGGCCAACACAGTGAAACCCCGTCTCTATTAAAAATACAAAAAATTTAGCTGGATGTGGTGTGCACCTATAATTCTAGCTGCTTGGGAGGCTGAGGCAGGAGAATCACATGAACCTGGGAGGCGGAGGTTGCAGTGAGCTGAGATGGCACCATTGCACTCGAGCCCAGGCAACAGTGCAAGACTGTGTCTCCAAAAAAACATAAAACAAGCATTTTTTAATCTTACTACCTCAGGTTCAGACTGGACAGATAAACTCCCTGGGTGGACTCTAAGAACCTACATTTGCAACACATTTATTCCTTTAAAAAATCTATATACATTGCCATACAAAGATACCACAATGAAGCAGTTCTCAGGAACCTTCCAGTGAGCCTTCTCTTATAATTGCCCGAGCAAGATTTCGTGCCAGAGCAAGTCTCAGCATTTCCACCTTGGTGGTTTCTATGTCCTCATCCTGCAAAGCAGAGAGCACCAGCATGAGACAAGAACAGGAAGGAGCCCTTTCACACTCCCGAAGGTTCTAGCTAATCCAAAGGTAGAGGGCACTTAACACTCATAGTAGCTTCCAGAAAATTATCAATATAAAAGAAAGCAATACCAAAGGGCCATACTGGAAATGAACAGGAAAGAGCAAAATGTAGAGCTCAGAACACTAGAATCCCTCATTTCCTCCTAAAAGAAAGTGGTGTGTGAATGACACAGGTTAAGGGGAACAGAGGCACATGTGTCCGTAGGAGCCAGTGTTTCTGGAGGGAAGGGGAAGTCTGAGATAGAGGGAGCCTTTTCCCACCTCCATGTGGAACCATCAGCCCAGAAGTGAAAATGACCTGGAGCTGCTGAATATCAGATTCTCCACGCACAGGTCTTCTTGACGTCAAGTCCTCCAGACACCGCATCAACTCGTAAGTCTGTTCTGCTGAGAAAATCACCTAGGGAAGAGAGCCTGCCTTGCTTGGCTGCCCCCAGCCCAGGCCTGCACTGGTTGGGCAGGGGCCCACGTTCACACGTTCTTCCTTTCATGCCTTTCGCAACAGTGTGCTTTGTACAGGAAGACCTCATTTCAAATTAAGCAGTGTTTCCTGTGTGAGTCTGGAATTCCAGAGAGGGTGCTAAGGGGAACACACGTGCGCAGGCAGAACGACAAGGGAGGAAACACACACACGCCAACAGCTACACAACTAAGCTCCAGCAGGGACAAGCAAAGAAAACCACCCTGCTGCAACCTTCACCTGTTTTTGTTCCAAAAGGGGCAGGGCATCTGTCAGCAGAGTCATCCAGAAAGACCGAGGGGCAATCCGAGACGTCATCAAGGACAGAAGGAGAGAAGCTGCGTCAGCAAAACGCTTCTCCCCGTACATACGGTGGAACTCGCGATACTTTCCTACGGCGAAACAAGAGCACTAGGTAACGTGCATATTCCCCCAAATTGCCCAAGTGACACCTACAAAAGTCACCCTGGCCCTAAACAAGAGAAGAAAAACCACAGACCAGCCACTCCACAGAGCAGGAGATTTTTTCTATCTCCAAACTCATAGGCCCCAATGAGATGCAGACAAAGAGCGTTCAAAGCAGACTTGGAAGAACTCCAAAGAGCCAAATCTGGGGAAACATCAGAGTCAAAATACGTAACAGTAGTCATGGATTAAAACAGATTGACTAGGCCAGGTGCAGTGGCTCATGCCTATGCCTGTAATCCCAGCACTTTGGAGGCCAAGGTGGGTGGATCACCTGAGGTCCGGAGTTTGAGACCAGGCTGGCCAACATAGTGAAACCCCATCTCTACTAAAAATACAAAAATTAGCCAGGTATTGTGGCATGCACCTGTAGTCTCAGCTACTTGGGAGGCCGAAGAGGGAGAATTGCTTGAACCTGGGAGGTGGAAGTTGCAGTGAGCCGGGATCGTACCACTGCACTCCAGCCTGGGAGACAGAGTGAGACTCCATCTTTAAAAAAAAAAAAAGGAAACATGGAGGCACTGGCCGGGCGCAGTAGCTCACGCCTGTAATCCCAGCACTTTGGGAGGCCAAAGCGGGCGGGTCACTTGAGGTCAGGAGTTCGAGACAATCTTGGCCAACATGGTGAAACCCCATCTCTACTAAAAATACAAAAAATTAGCCAGGCATGGTGGCGCATGCCTGTAGTCCCAGCTACTTGGGAGGCTGAGGCAGGAGAATCGCTTGGACCTGGGAGGCAGATGTTGCAGTGAGCTGAGGTCACGCCACTGCACTCCAGCCTGGGTGACAGAGTGAGACTGTCCCAAAAAACTAAATAAATAAAAGACAAAAATTAGCCAGGCGTGGTGCCGCATGCCTGTAATCCCAGCTATTTGGGAGGCTGAGGCATGAGAATTGCTTAAAGTCAGGAGGTGGAGGTTGCAGTGAGCTGAGATCATGCCACTGCACTCCAGCCTGGCAGCCTGGGCCACAGAGCGAGTAAGATTCTGTCTCAAAAAAAAAAAAAAGACAGAAACATGGAGGCACTAAGGAGATGTGACAGCCAAACTCACGATCCTGGACATGACGGAGGATGTTTCTGGGGCCACTGATGCAATGGGAATATATGAAGGAAGTGCTGGGAGGTCTGATATGATCCCTCCAACCTCCCCAACTACCCACTTGTGTCTAAAGCACAGGGCACAAAACCCAGGGACTCACCCAGGAATGTCAGTCGGTCACTGAGCATCATGGCTGGCCCCAGGTTGTCAATGAGATCCAAATCAGAAAAGCAGCCTCGCTCACAGTAATCCCTGAGGAACCTGCAGGGCCCAGCCCAGACATCAGAGCAGCAGTCTCAGGCCCACCTCAACCACCCAGTCCCTGGGAAGCCAACACCAGCGGTACCCACCTGTCTGACACAAGCGTGGCAAAGGCGGCATCCTTAGCACGGATGCTCCAAGAGAGGGCAGAACCCAGGCGATTGTTGCGGACGGCTTTCATGGCTAAGATCTTACAAATGCTGCGAACTTTGGGAGGGAAAAGAAAAGGTGAACGGCTTTCACTCCACAAATCACTCCATTCCTGAGCCCTGTGGGGACCAGAGTGGCCTCACAGCCTCACTCCACCCCAAAGCCACTCTGTGGGCTCTAAACGCAGCTGGATTGGCAGAGCTGGAAACTCAGGCTGATTAACAGTGTCTGGGCTCTGCTAAGAGTGTAAGTGCCCGTCATGGCAGGACTGGCTCTGTGAGTGTGTGTGGCTTCAAGGGTAGCAAAAGATTTTTGTTTCTCCCTACGTGTCAGCTCTTCTATTACCTCTCCAGATGCCTCAAATCCTATCTTCCTGTGGATCATGAATACCATATGCTTTCAGAAATGGTCGTGAACATGCCAACTGTCTCTCTGCAGGGTAGTAACTCATGTTTACATCCCTCAACAGTGAGGGGAGAAAGGAAGGGGCAGACTTGGTCATCCTCATTCCACTCTCTCTGCTTTTCTGGAGCCACCTCCAGCACTGCTTCCCCATTGAGCCTGGCTGAGATAGCGATAGCAACCCACCTGGACAGGGAAATAGCGCCGACCCCAGCCCTGACCTCGTGGAATCAAGTGTGTGAGAAAAGGGGCGGCTCACGCCTTTCCAGGTGGTGTGTAGATTTTGTCTCGGTTCCAGAGGATCCCTAGCTTTCCTGTCCCTCCCAAATAATTATCCCATCTCTTAGTTTACCTCTTGGCGTCCACAGCCCCACCTCTCTCCAGTGTGGCTCATGAGGAGGAGAATGGCTGGGGTAGGCACAAAGTGTGACCTCAGGGTCGCGACTCCCACGTCCCACAGATGGTAAGGCTGGGAGCAGGGCCAGCTCACCTTGTTCAGTCATCTGCCGCTGCTCACAGATTCGCAGCACCTTGAGGGCTTTCTGCTCAGTGTTCAGAGGTATCCGCTCAATGTGCAGCTCCAGGGAGACTCGGCCCAGCTTGGGGCAGTAATCAAAGTAATCCACCCCCAGCTGCCACAGGCTGCAAAGGTTCGAGGCAGACAGACATGAGGTGCTGCCTCGTGGCTCTGGGGACTGGCACCTGCAGCTCCCTTTCACTGACCCTTCTGTAGCCGTCAGGGAGCCAACCGGGAGAGAACAGTCCAAGCTCCAGTGGCACCCGCATGCTGAAGAGCACACGGCACAGCCTGCACCCGTGGGAGCCTCCCTACCTGGGATGAGCGAACAGTCCAGAGGCGTACTCCAGCAGGAGGAACTCTCTCATGTTGGAACCGAAACTGGAATAAAACATACCAAAAGACCAAGACTCCTGGCCTGCCCTGTTCAGGGCCCCCTTCCTCAGCCCAACCTCCCTTCCAGGCATTCAGTTCACCCCACCCTCGAGGGCTTGGTGGTAAGAAGAGGAGGATCGGTGCGTCCAGGCCACTTACTAGAGGTTGTGTGACTGGAGGAGCTTGCAGTGGTCCAGCAGGTCTGTCAGGTGGGCCACAAACCACCAGTTGCTCAGGGCGATGCTGCAGATTCAGATACCAAAGCAAGAAGGAGAGTCAGGGCAGAGGCCGTGTCCCACAAGAGCGGGGGTGAGCAAGAACCCCACATGTCCTATCCCTCAGAGAGATGGGGCCGGGTGTGATGGTAGCTCATGCCCATGATCCCAGTACTTTGGGAGACCAAGGCAGGCAGATCACCTTAGCCCAAGAATTTAAGACTAGCCTGGGCAAAATGGCAAAACCCCATCTCTAAAAATATAAAAATTAGCCAGGTGTGGTGGAACACACCTGTAATCCCAGCTACTCGAGAAGCTGGAGTGGGAGGATTGCTTGAGCCTGGGAAGCAGAGGCTGCAGTAGGCCGAGATCACACCACTGCACTCCAACTTGGGTGAGAGAGCACAAGCATATCTCAAAAAAAAAAAAAAAACCCAGCACT